AATTATTGCAGCATGCTGGAGGGCAGGGACAATTTACTTGCCTGATCACACCTAATAAGATGTATTTGCAGATTCCAGCATCTCCTGGACTTAATCAACAAACTATCAAGACAATCAATGCTGTTGGGCCCCATGTCCTTGTGATATTTTTTCCAAACAAAAAGATAAAAATCCAAGGACAGAGGGCTAAGGATATAGGCAAGCTGTTCAGAAGACATGAGGCTTATCTCCCTCCTGTTTGGCTGAAGCCACTGTGCGGAAGGACTGGTTCACCCCAAGGCCTGATTCTATCAAGAGCAAAGTTCAAGCCAGCCAACACAAGGAAACTAACATCTGAAAACGCCCACACTTCTTGGTAACTGCTGGAAATCTCTTCTACTGACTTTATCCTGTGTGGGAAAAGGCACTGGCTCAGATCAAGTCTTTTTCATACAGAGTATGAATTTGAGGAGAAAATTATATTTACATCCCCAAAACTCAGTGCATCATTTTCCACAGAACAATGTGTGGTGAAAGACTTGAGTAACATTCCCAATTCAACTGGTAAGATTTCATATTCAGTATAAGCTATTCTCTGCCTGTTGTATTCTTGCCCGGAACATATTTCTGCAAGCCTTGGGTAATTTGCCCTGGTTTTTGCTTAGTGTTATACAACAAGTCTCCTCAAATCTGAGAAAGTATTGAAGAAAAACTTGGAGACAAGAGGAAAGCCATGACATTGAAAGAGGAAATCTTACTGCACACAGAGAAGTTGCTTGTCAACAACCAAACTAATAGCCTGGGATTAGGAAGGAATGTTTTAAGCATCTTACATCCTAATAGGAGAGTCTTTTAGTTCCATGTAGGTGTTATACTAGGGACTTCCCAGGTGGCACTAGTGGTGCCTGACAGTGCAGGAGATATAAAAGATGTGGGTTCAATTCCTGGGTTGGGAAGATCCCCTGGAGGAAGGCATGGCAACCCACTCCAGTATTCTTGCCTGGAGAATTCCATGGACAGATGAGCCTGGCGGGCTACAGTCCATAGGGTCACACAGAGTTGGACGTGACTGAAGCGACTTAGCACGCATGCATGTTTTATGCTTCTGTTATGTTTTAGGAAATTGTGTGGAAACTTAGAATTGATGTGTAACAGTGTAATTTTTACCACTTCAAATAATAAGAAATAGGCTCTGGCTGGCATTTTTCATGTAGACCATCTGACTCTTAGAAGCAGATTACTGGTGTTATGTGGGAGGAGATGGTATTTTAGAAACTGGATAGGCAGTGATGCCCTGTGCCTCCGTATTACTCCCCACCCATTCAGGAACACTGAGTACTATAACCCAGTACTGTGTTGTGGGCTGTGGACACGACAGTGAAGGAGCCAGCATCTGTATCTTGAAGAACCCTGGGATGGGGTCAGAGGGCCAGCAGAGGAAGTGGGGAGTAGGGGGAGGAGCAGGTGGTGGGACCCTCATCCAGCTCCCAGAGCCAAGGAGGCATGAGCAGAAGGAGGAGAGGGAATGAACAGGCCATGCTAAAGCCCAGAGACAGAGCAAAAGGCAGCTGAACCTGGGTGCATCACTGAGCCCAAAAGAGCAGGTCCTCCCACACTGCAGCACCTTCACTGCATCCCAGGAAGGAAGAAGAGTTCCAGCTCCTCTCAGTAGCTCTGCCCACAGGCTTCTGCACCATCTTCAGGTTAAGCTACTTCAGGGACAAACTGTGAATGGGCTCTAAGACTTCATTTCCTCATCTAAATATGGGATAAATTTCCTCCTTCTAGAGTTATTGTGAGTATTGAATGAGTTAATATATGAAAAGTGCTTAGACCAGTGCCTAGCAATATGTCAGTGATTATTTTATTTACCTATTTTTCAGTGCAATATATTAGCTATTATTATTAGCTTGCTGTTGTTGCTGTTCAATTGATCAGTTGTGTCCAACTTTGAGATCCCATGAGCTACAGCACACCAGGCCTCCCTGTCCATCACCACCTCCCAGAGCTTGCTCAAACTCATGTCCATCAAGTCAGTGATGCCATCCAACCATCTCGTTCTCTGTTGCCCCCTTTTCCTCCTGCTCTCAATCTTTCCCAGCATCAGGGTCTTTTCTAATGAGTCAGCTCTTTGAATCAGGTGGCCAAAGTATTGGAGCTTCAGCTTCAGCATCAGTCCTTCCAATGAATATTCAGGGTTGATTTCCTTTAGGATTGACTGGTTTGATCTCCTTGCAGTCCAAGGGACTCGAGAGCTAGAGGCCCTATAAACGTGTCACCGAGAAACCTAAGGGTCCCTGAGCTCAGGTTGGGGCTTTTAACACCTGCGTTCCCAGTCTTTCTCTCTCTCTTCTTTTCACTTGCCTTCTCTTTTCTTCCACACAGGCAAATGCATATTTTTGGACCACTCATTGCTGCCATGAACCTGCATATGACATGGATTTAACTTAAGAAAATCCAAGAATGCCCACTTGGCTGGATGAGGTAGGGGAGAACAATTTCAATACTGCAAGCCTTCCTTGCCTTCTATCAGGGAGCACAAGGTGAACTCCAGAAGAGAGGGTGACAGGAGCCTGTCCCACCAACAGGGCCGCTTTCCCAGCCTCAACTGTCCTGAACATCTTGCCACATACATGCAGGTGAGTTAGGGGAACTTCAGGCATAAATCTGACTATATGCAATTTTTACCCTCCATACTGCCTTTGGAAGCCAAACCTCTCTTAAAAAAGAGATACCCAAGCACCTCTGTCTGTCGAGCACTGAGTAAATTCTAACTGAATCAAAAATGTTGAAGGTTTTCTGAGAGCTGTTTTTCACTTAGGAAGGTTTACATCCTCCCCCAAGGGTAGCCTGAGCAATGGAACAAATGCCTCCCAGATGTGAAAACAAAAGAAGGGGCTGGGGTCTACTACCTGAGTCACCAGGCCGTCCCCTCCCCCATACAACCTGAGCCACCACGCCTTCCCCTCCCCACATGCTCCCATGGTAAAATCAGCATCCTCTGCACCTAAAGCAGGGCTAAAAAGGGAAATTTGTCACACATAGCAGCTACAGCAGGGCAGACACAGAGCTTGAAAAATAGATGATCTCAGCTCACAAGCCCACAAGCCCCATGCTGCTCCTGACCTTAGGCAGGTATGTTCTCCCCGCTGGGTTTTGAAGAAGGAAACAGACAGAACAGGCTCCATCTTGAAAGCGGGACTCCATCTTGGGCCGGACCGTGGACTTTGAGCTCTGTGCCCAGGATCTATGGAAACGACAAACCAACTGGAAAACCAGGCCCCCTGGATGGAAGAGCCCTAGAGCTCGTACCTAGACTCTCTGTCACCTAAAAGAATACCCTAATTATCTGTGTAACCAAATAGAATCATAAATTCTATTATGCTTATTGGTGTATGACCACAGGCCTATTGATAATTGTCCACTGTTAACTACCTAGGCTTAAGGCATATGAATCACAGGTTAACTTTGACTGTATCTTTCTTTTCCTTTGTTCAGACTAGTTTCAGGGAATTTGGGGATGTGGGTTTGGGCACGTACACTTAGGGTATATAAGGTTTTCAGAAAAACTGGTCAGGGTCCTTGGCTAAGAGGAGACTCTGCCTTGGGCCCGCCGGTGTAATAAACTGCACTCCGCTGTCTGCACTGTCCTTCTGAGTGAGTTTGTTTCCCGGAACATGTGGCTACATTTAGTGCATTGACTGGGAAACTCCTCACTTTGAGGAGACAAGTCCCATTTGGACTACTCCGAGGCCTTGTGTCTCGAATCTTCTAGAGGGGGGAAGGTGCCTTGCCCTTCTGGAAGGATTCTGCTTCTCAATGCCTGGACCTTTCAGGTTAGCAGGTAGTGGACGGTAGCAGGGGAACTGAGCGCTCAGGTGAGGAGGAACCCACCCAGCAGGGTGGAAGAGGGGGACTGATCACCCCCCCACACCCTGGGAGGGATGAGAAGGCACACAGACCCACAGGAGCCTGGACTAGGCAGGTGGCAATGATTGCTTGGTACACAGGTTGACAAGCGTGTTAGGGCTTAGGAAGGAAATTTGTAAAGGTCATTTAGGAGGTGGTGTCCATGCCGTCTTGGGGAAAATTATTACCAAGCAATTGCCAGGGGATTTTTAGGAGAAAAAACTTGGTTTTCATGTGCTCATGTTCTGCCCTCCCCAAGGAGGTGTCCCATCTGCTATGAAATTCTTGACACCCTCAGAATTGCCAGGCTAGAAGGAGGGGGATACATAAGTGAGTACAAATTGGCTTTTCTGGAGACAGCCTGGGACGTGGGATTTTTAACCCATCTGTATTTTCATCCGCACCTAATCAAGCCCACCAAGGCAGAATGGACTTTAAAAGTTAAGGGAAAAACAGTCTTGGACCACGTGGTGTTCTATTTCGCCTCTGCTGATCGGCAGGTGAAGACACGCCGATCCCCCTTCTCCCTCTGGGATCTGGCAGGTAAGGCTCCTCTCACCCCAATTAGGAAGGAGGCAGAATGGCAATTTAAGTGTCATTGAGTGGAAATATCAGAAGTACATAGAGTACTGAGAACTTCGTAGACAGAACAAAAAGGAAAAGTAGAAGAAGGTCTGAGAACGTAAGCAAGATGGGGGGAAGTGAATCTAAGGCAACTGTATTGGGGTGCATGACTAAAAATTTAAAGGGATTTGTAGGAGACTATGGGGTGGACACAACTGAAGCGACTTAGCAGCAGCAGCACGGGGTGAAGATGAAGCCTAACTGCCTGCATATACTCTGTGAGGTCGAATGGCCCCCATGGGAGTAGGATGTCCACCAGAGAACACCATGAAGTTAAAAATAGTGGAAGCGGTCTATACAGTAGTCAGAGGAGAGCCAGGACACGCGGATCAATATCCATCTATTGACTCATGGCTAGGGTTAGCTCAAGACCCTCCTACTTGGACAAGGTTCTGTATCCAGGAGGGAAAGGGAAAAATATTAATGGCACAAAAATTGACTGATGATAAAAAAAGGAAATTCTACAGGATTTGGACGGGGATGACCTGATGCCTCCCCCAGATAACTGGATAACGACTCACCCGCCGCCCAGTGTTCCACCAGGACCAGAGGCCACCTTAATGCCCGATCCAGGGCCAGGCGAAGTTCCGGCAGCAGCCAACGCTCCTCCGCCAGCTCTCCCGGAATTCATAGAGCCGCTGTTTCAGCAAGCTCCAGTCCCAGTAATGGAGACCTCCGGTCAACGCCCCCAGAATTCCACCTCAGCTGGACCTCTAGATTGTGTCCACCTCTCCCGGTGAGTACTGATGGGAAGGGGGGAGAAAACACAGCAATTAGACAGAGGCTGCGCTCCGCCAGGGAACGGGGTTAAGAACCCCACTACAGATGCCCCTCAGAGAGCTACAGCAGCCTCCGGGTCAGGACGCATGTGGGCACTACCATCAGCCCCCCTGTAGCCTATTATTACCAGCCATTTTCCTCTACGGATGTATTAAACTGGCAGAGACACGCTCCACGGTACTCGGGGGAGCCACAAGCCATGATTAGGCTAATGGAGACTATTTTTCGAACCCACTGCCCTACATAGGATGACATAATCCAACTACTAGTCTCCCTTTTCAGCACTGCGGAAAGACACAGGATTCAAATCAAGGCCAGAAAATGGTTCAGAGAAATGGCGCCTGAGGGTATTGCAAACCCTCAGTGGTGGGAGAACCAGCCATCCCCGATGAGGGGCCCGATTGGGACTGTGACCCAGGGGAAGGGAGGGGCCACCTGGAGATATCGGGTGACTATTTTACAAGGTCTCAAGAGGGGGGTCCAAAAAGCTATGGGTATCGCAAAACCCTCCGAAGTGATTCAAAGGGAAAGCGAATCACCTGCTGAGTTCTGCGAAAGACTGTGCGAGGCCTATAGACTTTATACGCCAATAGACCCAGCCAGAGGCTGCTGGGTCTCAGATGGTGATAAATGTGGCCTTTGTGTCTCTAGCCTACCCTAAAAATGTCAGATGGGGGGGGCACCAAGTGACTCATGAATTTTTATACATCCCTGAATGCCCAGTACCTTTGTTAGGAAGAGACTTGCTGTCTAAATTGGGGGCACAAGTGACCTTTCCCCCCATGAAAGACCCACTGTTTGAGTGGGGTCTACCACCTATTTACTCTTCCTCTCAGTAACCCTTCAAGATGAATGGAGGTTGCGCAATCTCCCAGCAAGGAAACCTGACAGGCTAAACAGTCAAGAGAGAGAGAGTTAATTCAACAATTCCCTGAGGTCTGGGTGGAAGCCAACACCCCCAAGGCTTGCAAAACAAATCCCACTGGTAATAGAACTCAAACCCTGTACAATTACGTCAGCACCCGCCTTGGGCCTGCCAGACCTTGCTAAGCCGTTTACTCTTTAGGACAAGGTGGCTATGGGAGTGTTGTCCCAGATTATGGGGACATGGGACAGACCAGGGACTTATCTCTCGAATCAGATGGACAATGTTGCCACTGGGTGGCTGGCATGCTTACGGGCAGTTGCTGCAGTTGCCTTACTGGTCCGGGAGGCAGCCAAGCTGACTTTGGGCCAAGATTTGTTCGTAAAAGTCCCGCATGAGGTCAGCACTTTCCTGCGAGGGGACCCCCATAAATGGCTGTCAACATCCCGGATTACTCAGTTCCAGGGACTGTTATGTGAGAACCCCCATGTTGCTACTGAGCCTTGTCAGGCCCTGAATCTGGCCACTCTCTTTCTTGTGGGAGAAGGTGGGCCCTCACATGATTGCAAGAAAATATGCCAGCAGACCTGACTTGAGAGACCAGCCAATCCCGGACCCAGATTCGGTCCTGTACACCCGTGGCCCCAGCCTGGTGAAACGAGGACAATGACTGTCGGGATATACAGAGTCATGGAAGAAAGCATCGCTGAGGCTAGCTCTCTGCCATCACACTGGTCCGCTCAACAGGCCAAACTGTGTGCTCTAATCCAGGCCCTCCAGCTGTCAGAAGGTAAGAAGACAAACATTTACAGGGCTCTGTATCAGGAGAGAGGCCTTTGACAGCTAGTGAAAAAGATACTAAAAATAGGAAAGAAATCAAGACCCTATTAGATGCTGCCTGGGAACCAGAAAGGGTTGCAGTCACACACTGCTGAGGACGTCAAAAACATGATACCCCCCTGGGCTCAGGGAACAGACTGGAAGATAAGACCGCTAGACAAGCAGTCGAGGGCTTGGGGGTGACAAATGAAGCCCCTATTAAAGCTGTCATATTGGCGGAGCTGCCTGAGCTGACACTAGACTCTCCAAAAGACACTGAAGCCCAAAACCAACTAGCCAAAGCAGAAGGGGCCATCAAGACTGAAAAGGGATGGTGGGAATTGCCCAGTGGCAAATTATTGGTACCGGAGGAGCTGGCACCTACTCTGTTAAAAAAAACACACCAAGTGACCCATCTAGGCCATGATAAACTGGAAGAGCTAATTTGAAAATATTTCTTGGTTCCCCACCTCTCTTCCCTACGCAGGACAAAATCTCAGAACTGCACTGCCTGCTCATGGATCAATGCTGCCTCTTGGCACAGACAGAAATCTCCGGGGATTCAGCTAAAAGGCACGCTGCCCTTTGAACACCTGGAAGTAGACTTCACTGAAATGAAACCTCACCGACACTACCATTACCTGCTGGTCATAGTATGTACGTTCTCGGAATGGGTAGAAGCTTTTCCTACCCGGACTAAAAGAGCATCAAAAGTAGCCGGTGCCTGCTTAGGGAGATAGTTCCCAGATTTGGATTTCCTACCAGCATTGGATGGGACAATGGCCCAGCTTTCATAGCTGATTTAGTAAAACAAGTAAGCAAAACTTTAAACATCAAGTGGAAATTACATACAGCATATAGGCCCCAGAGTTCTGGGATGGTGGAAGGAACCAACTGGACACTTAAAGAGACTCTCCAAGTGGGTCTCAGAGACTGACTGCTCCTGGGGGGACTGGTCCGACGGCGCTGCTCAGACTCAGGATGACCCCACGGCCCCACAGCTCTTTGTACAAAATTGTGTATGGGAGGCCCCCTCCCATAATAAAACAGGTGCCAACAAATTTGCCTCAGGTAAGGGGAGATGAGATTTCACAGCAGATGAAACAACTGGTTAAGGTAATGGATCAGGTAACTAAGTTGGTAGAAGAAAGGGTGCCGTTCCCCCTTGGGGAACAGATTCATGAATCTGTGCCCGGGGATCAGGGGTGGTCAAGGACTGGAAACACGACTCCTTGGCCCCACGTTGGAAGGGTCCATATACTGTTATTCTAACCAGCCCGACTACAGTTAAAGCTGCAGGTGTCACCCCCTGGATCCACCACAGGAGGGTGGAGAGAGCATAGCATGCAGACCCGGAGGACGCTGAGTGGACTACACAAATGGACCCCACTGATCCCCCTGAAACCAAGATCATCTTACAGAAGAAAAAGAGATGAAGCTCTACAATCAACTGCTGCTACAAGGACTTGCTGGTATCATCCTGAGACTAAACTACACAGTTTCAGAACAAAGAGGGACCTGTGCTATAATTAAAGTTGAATGTTGTGTATATATTCCTGATTTATCTGGCTATATATCAGCCACCCTAAATGACATGAAAGGTCAGGTAAAAGTTATGTCTGATGATAATCTTCCTTTTTGGACTTCAGTCCTATCTTGGGTGAAGGGTGACTGGTGGAAAACTATATTTACCATTGTTATAGTTGCCTTGATAGTTCTGCTCTGTGGACCCTTTATTTTACAATGTATTATGAACTTTGTATCCCAAAGGTTGATGTCGTTCTCCCAAATTGGAGGTCCGAGAGTCAGGGTGCAATATATCCCTATGAATGATGCTCATACTATGAGTTAAGAGCATCAAGAGGAGGGAATGAAGGAGGAAACAGACAGAACAGGCTCCATCTTGAAAGCAGGACTCCATCTTGGGCCGGACCGTGGACTTTGAGCTATATGCCCAGGATCTATGGAAACGACATACCAACTGGAAAACCAGGCCCCCTGGATGGAAGAGCCCCAGGGTTCGTACCTAGACTCTCTGTCACCTAAAAGAATACCCTAATTATCTGTGTAACCAAATAGAATCATAAATTCTTTTATGCTTATTGGTGTATGACCACAGGCCTATTGATAATTGTCCACTGTTAACTACCTAGGCTTAAGGCATATGAATCACAGGTTAACTTTGAAACTTTCTTTTCCTTTGTTCAGACTAGTTTCAGGGAATTTGGGGAGGTGGGTTTGGGCACGTACACTTAGGGTATATAAGGTCTTCAGAAAAACTGGTCAGGGTCCTTGGCTAAGAGGAGACTGCCTTGGGCCCGCCAGTGTAATAAACTGCACTCCACTGTCTGCATTGTCCTTTGAGTGAGTTTGTTTCCCAGAATGCATGGCTACAACAGTTTAATTTCAAAATGCAGTGCAGTCACTGGAAAAAAAAAAAAAGTAACTCACTCTTTCGGATATGCACAATTTTCATCAGCATTAGTCTCTGGTGGCTAGAGTCTCGGGCAGTCTCTTACCACCTCTCCTCATCTTTCCTATTCTAGGAAAACAGTTTTTCTAAGCGTCTGTGGATGCCTGCCTGGGTTTTGAGGCACGGTCCACACCCCAAGTCAGGAGACAGAATCCTCTCCCCCCAGTCTGACATTTATAGAGTGCTGTGATCTCAGATTCCAACTTCCTTCTCCCACCTGAAATCTAATCATGCCTTTTGTCTTTCAGCCACAATTATACATCAAAAGAGAAACACGATGATGCAACAGTTTGCCCAGACCTGTGTAACTGATTCACAGAAGTAAACAGAAGGTGTAATTACAGCTAAAAGGCGGCAACTTCTTCAGGGAGAAGAAAAAAAGGAAAATGTTCTTAATAAAATACTCTTGTCTTTATTTTAAGCTTGGTGCTCACATTCTCTAACACACAGAAGCAAGTGAATAACCATGTCCACATAAAAACACTCCCATTCACCCCATGCAACTAGTAATATTTGAGAGACCCTTTCAGCAAATGGACAATTTGCTTAAAATAAACATCAGAAGAGGTTTTAGTCTTCCTCCACTTCCTCCACTGCTACAAAATCTGAACAGCGATGAATGAAAGAGCATAAAAGCCAAACCAGCTCACACGGAAGACTCCAGAGATCAAGATCTTCCAAATGGAAACTCTAGTTAGCTCGGCTTCTCGGAATCTCATCACTTAAACTGTGATTTCAAAGAGGAAATCCCTGAGGGCCCAGCAGGTACATATCATCAATTGTCCATATTACTTATGCAAAAACCCGTTCTGCTGAATATTCTAGACCGAGAAGTGACAGCTTCCAAATGAGATCTGCCAGCACAACCCTCTTTTCCCCAAACAGCAAGAATCAGCAGAACACACCTAGAAGTCCTCTCAATTTATTCTTCATTGTAAGCCAGAGGGAAAGGAAGTGAGATCGGCTAAGTGAGATCCCAAGCTGCACAAAGTGAAGTTGCTCGGTCATGTCTGACTCTTTGCGACCCCATGGACTGTAGCCTACCAGGCTCCTCTATCCATGGGATTTTTCCAAAGCAAGAGTACTGGAGTGGGTTGCCATTTCCTTCTCCAGGGGATCTTCCCGACCCAGGGATTGAACCCAGGTCTCCCACATTGTAGGCAGACGCTTTACCGTCTGAGCCACTATTCACAAGGCACACAAAGGCACTAACCTAATCCCATCCAGAGGAAAATAAGACAAAGACTCTTAGTGGGCAAACTCAGAGACTCAGAGGAACCTAGTGAGGCAGGACACCAAATAGATCTAAGTCACAAAGAGCTGGGCTAACGAGGCATCAGTCTATGAGGCCTGCCGGGGGAGACAACAATGTCCCGGAGCAAAAGCCACACAACCTGTCCACAGGGGGTCTGTGTGTCAAGTACTGTCATGGGTGCATATGAGTCTTGCTTTCGAAAGCAGGAGGGCAACAAGGCTTTATTGTACATGAGCCGTATAGTGTTGGCCAAAGGCGCCCTTCCAGTTGAAAGGGCTGAGGCTAAACATAAGATGAGGCCTCAGCCACACACAATGGCCTTGTCTGGAATGTTACTCACCTCCTATGCCCCTCCTGCCTCAGGTGAGAAGCGGAATCACAGTAAAAACCTCTTTGCTCACATGTTCATTCGCTCTTTCCTCTCTTTCCTGGAAAAATTATTGTGACTGGGCATGTCCTCTGCTCGGGAAGGCTTCTGTTTGGAGGGCCTTCTGGAAGGTGGAGTGGAGTCAGAGTGAAGCCCAGGGGAAGAGAGCAAAAAGTAGCTGTTCCAGTCCCACGCTGGCCGAGTCTTTGGGAAATGAGGGGAACTGCTTAACTTCCACATTATCGGCCCACGTCCCTGCTGGAGAAGAGATAAGGTGTAGGCAGATGACCCAAGAGAAAGATGCACTCGGCCGGAATGGACTCAGTGCCTGTGAGAGGCAGAAAGACGTGCAAGTCAGGGAAGCCCTAACATCAATGGAGTCCAGAATCCAGAAGGCCCCCGTGTACCGCAGCAACTTCCACCACCCAGGTCTCTTCAGCTGCGCTCAGACCAGGACAGGAGGGCACGGAGGTGTGGGAAGCAGAGAACTGCCTGGAATTGAGACCCCTAATTCACTCTAGTTCCACATGCGACTGCTTCTCCTACCACATACTCTGGCACTCAAAAAACAAAGCAAAAAATTGAGGGCCTGCAATCTACAAGGCCCTGTTGTCACTGTTTAGTTGCTCAGTCATGACTGACTCTTTTGCGACCCTGTAGACTGTAGCCCACCAGGCTCCTCTGTCCATGGGAATTCCCAGGCAAGAATACCGGAGTGGGTTGTCATTTTCTTCTCCAGGGGATCTTCCTGACCCAGGGATAGAACCCATGTCGCTTTCATTAGCAGCCAGATTCTTTACCGCTGAGCCACCAGGGAAACCACGAGGCCCTGAAGATGAACAAAATTAACAAGAGACAACTGTGCCAAGACCAAGTGGTAGAAGAAAAGAGCCTGGGTTTCTGAAGCCATCCTGGTCTTGGTTTGGTCTTTTGTAAATTGTGTGGCCTTGGCCAAGTCACTCTGTGTCTCTGTTAAGGGGGATAAAACTACTTACCACCAAGTGTTTCTGAATAGATTAAGATAAGGTATACAATGGCCTTACGAAATGGCAACAGCATTACTAGCTCTGGAGAACCTCAGACTTGTAAGCAGCTAAAAACAAGATGGAACAAATACAGTGGATCCAGAACAAGAGCAAAGTGGATTTGATGGGACTGGGTCCAGGAGAGAGGGAAAAGGGATGCTTTGCAGAGGAGCTGACTCAGCTGCTTCTGAAACAATGAGAAGCGATGCCTCCCAGCCCCGGAGGCCTCATGGTGCCCACACAGGGCTCCGCACTTAGAAGAGCCTGTGCTTAGTTTAGTGCCCCGCTGTCATCATCTTGAAATTCTAAATAATTTTTGAACAAGAGACTTTGCCTTTGTAGAAGGCCCTGCAAACTGCATGGCCAGCCCTGTTCCTGTTGATTGATGGAGTTTTAACTGACCATCTCTGAGGCAGGCCACCTCCTTCTCAGGGCCTCCAGAGCTGGACGAACATCACTGACCCTCTGACTCCCAGTGTGTGGGCACACCAAGGCCGCTAGGTTCTCCTTCTCAGCTCCAGACTTCCAAATCCATATAACCCACCCCAGTTTCTCTGCCAGTAACAGAGTGGGTAAAAATCTGTACCAGGTCATCACTTTCAAAATACAAGGAAACATTCCCCTCCATGAAAACCCTTTCCAGGATTCAAGACTTCAACCTGGCAAAAACCATCCCTTGTCCAGCCGCATCAGCCTTCCATTTAACCAACTTCTCCTGAGTGCCTACCACAGGCTTCCTGGTGGCTCAGATGGTAAAGAAGCTGCCTGCAGTGCGGGAGACCTGGGTTCAATCCTTTGGTTGGGAAGATCCCCTGGAGAAGGGCATGGCAACCCACTCCAGTGTTCTTGCCTGGAAAATCCCCATGGACAGAGGAGCTGGGCAGGCTGCAGTCCATGGGGTCACAAAGAGTTGGAAACGACTGAGCGACTAAGCATGGCACACACCAGGTACTGAGTGCTCAGCTGGGCCCCACTGAACCCTGTCTTCCTGGCCACATGCAAATCCCACCTACAGCAGACAGGTGCTTAGCTAAGGGAACAGCGTTCTCCAGAACCTGGAGTAAGATATGGCTTTGGGCAATGTGACCCAGAGACTGTTGCCAGGAAGAAAGTGTACGTTTTGGACTGGGGATGAGAACCCAGAAGTAGTGCAGTGTTTGCTCCAACTCCAGCAGCCGGGAGAGGTGTTTGGATGAGATGCTGTAAACCCTGTCATATTTCCCTACCTGCTATTAAGAAGTGTCCTGCCCACCTTATCTTCGACAAAGGAGGCAAGGATATACAATGGAAAAAAGACAACCTCTTTAATAAGTGGTGCTGGGAAAACTGGTCAACCACTTGTAAAAGAATGAAACTAGAACACTCTCTACCACCACACACAAAAATAAACTCAAAATGGATTAAAGATCTAAATGTAAGACCAGAAACTATAAAACTCCTAGAGGAGAACATAGGCAAAACACTCTCCGACATAAATCACAGCAGGATCCTCTATGACCCACCTCCCAGAATATTGGAAATAAAAGCAAAAATAAACAAGTGGGACCTAATGAAACTTAAAAGCTTTTGCACAACAAAGGAAACTATAAGCAAGGTGAAAAGACAGCCCTCAGATTGGGAGAAAATAATAGCAAATGAAGCAACAGACAGATTAATCTCAAAACTATACAAGCAACTCCTGCAGCTCAATTCCAGAAAAATAAATGACCCAATCAAAAAATGGGCCAAAGAACTAAACAGACATTTCTCCAAAGAAGACATACAGATGGCTAACAAACACATGAAAAGATGCTCAACATCACTCATTATCAGAGAAATGCAAATCAAAACCTCAATGAGGTACCATTACATGCTAGTCAGGATGGCTGGTGTCCAAAAGTCTACAAGCAATAAATACTGGAGAGGGTGTGGAGAAAAGGGAACCCTCTTACACTCTTGGTGGGAATGCAAACTAGTACAGCCGCTATGGAGAACAGTGTGGAGATTTCTTAAAAAACTGGAAACAGAACTGCCATATGACCCAGCAATCCCACTTCTGGGCATACACACCGAGGAAACCAGATCTGAAAGAGACACGTGCACCCCAATGTTCATCGCAGCACTGTTTATAATAGCCAGGACATGGAAGCAACCTAGATGCCCATCAGCAGACGAATGGATGAGGAAGCTGTGGTACATATACACCATGGAATATTACTCAGCCATTAAAAGAATTCATTTGAATCAGTTCTAATGAGATGGATGAAACTGGAGCCCATTATACAGAGTGAAGTACGCCAGAAAGTTAAAGAACATTACAGCATACTAACACATATATATGGAATTTAGAAAGATGGTAATGATAACCCTATATGCAAAACAGAAAAAGAGACACAGATGTACAGAACAGACTTTTGGACTCTGTGGGAGAAGGCGAGGGTGGGATGTTTCAAGAGAACAGCATCGAAACATGTATATTATCTAGGGTGAAACATATCACCAGCCCAGGTTGGATGCATGAGACAAGTGCTCGGGCCTGGTGCACTGGGAAGACCCAGAGGGATCGGGTAGAGAGAGAGGTGGGAGGGGGGATCAGGATGGGGAATACATGTAAATCCATGGCTAATTCATGTCAGTGTATGACAAAAACCACTACAATATTGTAAAGTAATTAGCCGCCAACTAA